GACGGCCCTCAGACCCACGTCATCTGCTAGGAAGACTAAACCACAGCCTGACGGGGCAGGACCCAATGAAGCACACTTGGCAGGGGCTCCCACACCGCCAGGTGACCTCCTAAGGGAACCAGTCTCGCGAGACTGGCTTGTGGTGCCCCTAGAGCAGCTAGATCAGTGCCCTGAAGCAGCGGAGTGGCAGGGGACGGCCATACTAGCTGCTCTAGATACCGCCGTAGAGGTACCGCTACGTTTCCGGGCGGTAACTGAGAGAAGCGCTCGCCGGAAACCGCTGCGCCTTGGAACACTGCAGGGTTGGCAGACCGACCTCCTGAGGGCACTGAGGAGAGACGGGCACCGTGTAATGCAGTGTACACCGCTCTTCCCCAGAGGGAGCTGGCCCTCAAAAAGTCCTAGGCCTTAGGCGTCAGGACATTTACGACGAAGACTATCCAGTGAGAATGACTGTCCGCAGACCCGCCTTCTGCTAGAAGCCTTCGGGCTGGGAGCGCTACTCTGACTCTAGACTCTGCGGAGTACGAGAAGTGAGGCCCCCAGAATGAGGGGCTGGAACACGGTGGGTTGGGACTGCTACGCCCAGCAGCCCCTGCTAACCGCCTCAACCTCCTAAAAAAGAGAGGTTAACACATGTTCTCACTCGAGAAATTTATATCCCAAGAGCCCCTGTATATCTAACTTCTCATAGTCAGACAAATACTTCATTTTATTCCTCAGAATTAAATGCAATCAAATAACCAGACGAGTAAATATGGTCTAGTGTAGTAAGATTCGCATCAAAAACCGAGCTTTTTAAAAACCGAGTGCAACTGGCGAGCTTTTTGACACCCTCCTTATCAATCTCCTCGGAGAAAGACAGGCGGAGCGTGGCGCCCTCTCCCCGGTGGGAAGGACCGCAGTGCGGGCTTCCGAAACCCTGAGAGCGGGCGCCGAATCTGGTGATTAGGAAGCAGATCCATACGCGAAACCCACGAGCACAGCCGCCGCTCCGCCTCGGCACCGCGAGGAACACTAGTGAAGGCTCCCTCCTCAAAGAGAGCCCTCTGAGAGCGAAGCAAAGCAGTAACAACTATGCTTCGCTCCCAAGCAAACCACGCACAGGCTGTGTGTATCCCCACTCGTGATATAACGTTTTCTTTGGACAGGGAGGAACACACAACCTACAACGTGACTTGCTCTCGCCCTTGAAATGCTTTGTCTTTGCATGAGCTTTGACATAGCTGGAGCTTATAGACTTTCACAATTGACAGACAACAATAAATATGACTGACACACACAGAGCGCTTCGCTGAATGACAGAAAGCTGACGCTGGCTCCGCCGCACCTGCTTTTATAGCTTCCTGGTCATGACATCACCCGCCTGTGATGTCTCGCTCAGCTATTGGACTGATTTCACATGTTATTCAGAGCGTGGTCACAGAAGGTGTTCCCCTAGCGTTTTCCGACGCAGCTCGAGTTCCTGAAGAGGAACTCAAAGACTTTCTGAATATATATAAAAGGTAGGCTATTTTAGAAAGAAAAAAAGTTAAAAGTTATAAAAGAAGAATTAGAGAGAATCAATAAATTGTCAGTAATTTATTGCAATTGTGTGAATAATATGTAATCATATAATCAAAAAAGTAACAGTCTGATTATGAGTATTTTAAAATGTAATATAATATAATTACAAGTACTTACTTTTGGAATCTGATTACGTAATTACTTAGTGTTGCTGTTAAAGCACTAGTTCATCCAAGAATGTAAAATCTGTGGTCTTTTACTTTTTCATGGCATTAAAAAAGAAGAGAATTCATTTTTAGATTAACTATTCTGTTAAAAAAAGGTAAACTACTTATGTCATGATGCTTCAGAAGATAACATTTTTAGATATTTTTTTCTTAATTTTTCTTCAGACACAACCAGAGGCCCCTGGAGGTGACGAGGGATGAAGTTCATAAGAACAGATGTCATGTGAAGTTTCCAGAACTTTTCTCCAGCTTTCCTTACTGGGTCAACGTCACTGCAGTGAACTCCCTGGGTCGAGCTTCCATCGCCATCAGCTTCGAGGAGTCCTCAATAGGTACAGTTTATACTACACACAAAAAATAAATTGGTGTAGGAATTTCATTGAAAATACTTTCACTCACAAATAGCTTTAAATAGAAATGTACTAGCTCTCAAATAGCTGGTAAATTTCACATAATAATTACAAATAAATAGCAAGTAAAATAATTAATTACACATGAAAATTTGAATGAGCAAAACTAAAATAGTATTTTTTTTATTGTAAAACATAATCCAATAATTGTATATACAGTCAAACCAAAAATTATTCAGACACCAGATATAATTTTTGATATATATATATATATATATATATTTTTTTTTTACTAGTGGGTGCAGGACACTATTGTTCATTTATGTAAGTGAGGATAGCAAAATAAAGTAAACTGTGACATATCATACCCAACAATTCTCCATACAGTGCACTACCAGTAAAATTGATGAAGATTTGGACCAAAAATTATTCAGACACTTTGACCTGCCCATGTTTTGCTTAAGTGATATCTGACTCCGAGTTCTTATCATATTTAATTAACTTTTTCTAAACTATAGCGAATAAACTGTGATAATGTGTGAAATGTTGAAGGTGTCTGTATGTATATGTACAGTGTATGTATTTATGTATGTTTGTATTTATATGTATTTATTCATTGCAGACACAGAAAACATCATTTACAAGTCAATAGACCTTGCCAAAACATCTAGCTCATATTTACCAGACACTCTGGTAACCTACTATCATCTCTATCATCTCAACACCCATGCTGGCAAACAGAATTGAAGGAAATATCTCCAATATATCGTCTGGCTGACGGTGGAGGTGTTGTTGAAGTGGCTTCATTCAGGGTTTCAAATAAATAGAATGCTTACATGCATGGCTACATTTGTGCTTGATAGTAATAAAAATGCTAATGCAGTCTGGATCACTGGATTGACAATGAAAATATTTTTCCCACTGTTTCTAGTGTATATTTTAAGGAAAACGGATTCCTTTTTAAAAAAAAATGTATTTCATATGGGGCAGCTATTTTATTTAATTTGAAAAAAAAAAAAGCAACTTGTGATTAGTATACATTTCAGTGAAAAGTAGGGAACATATTGATGAAAGTACATACAATAAATGAACTGCCTTACATTGAAACTAAAGCATGCAGACTATTGCACAACTTCAAGATACATGGGAACTAAATATAAACAATTTAAATTATTAATTTTTTTCAGCTACACTGCAAATATATATATTTTCTTTATCATAATTTTTTTGCATTATTTTTTAATAAAAAATATGGAAATGCATGAGATGTACTTTACTTCCCCCCCTTTGTTTTAAGCAGAAACCTAACCAAATTTAGTGAGGTTTATGCTTAAAACAGGTCAAAACTATTTTCCAATGAGGTATAAAAAAATAGGTTCCTTTTAAAGTGAGCAATTTATCTTGTCTACAGGATGTTTAGATATTTTACTGGGGGAGGAAAAGCCAAAATACTGATTAAGAAAGGGAATATTTTCAGTCCAGCCCTTCCTCTCAGCACGCCCCGACATAAAAATTAGCATCCGAATGGCCGACATCTAAACAACATCAACAGTGTTTGAAAGTCATAAAGAGTGTTTCGCTCAAGCCAGGTCAAGGCCTGCGCTATAAATCCTGAAGTCTGCTATGAATAGTAAAGGGAACGGGGCTCAGAAACATCTCTTTGTCCTCGTGTGTATGTGCTTGTGTGCGAGTGAAGCTAAAACCGCAGAACAAAGAGAATGATCCTTGGCCACCGCATCTCGAGAAGAAGAGAAAGGCCACTCTGTTGCTCTCTGCTGATTTCCCATAAACCTTAGCTCCAAAAGGCTTTCCTAATATTCAGGAGACACGGCTGCTCAAAAGACATCTCGAGAAATGTCAGTGAGGCTTCTTTAGGAGACGTGTGTGTTATGTCAAACTGATTTTCTGCTCAGAGGGACGAGCTGCGGATCATAAAGAGGAAATCTCAGCACTTTTCATTATTCATCACTTTTTCCATTATAGTGTTTCGCTAGTGGCATTTGTCATGAAATATTCTTTCTGCTTAGCTTCTAAAACAGTGTTATTTTTGTACTGAGCCTTGTTACAACTCATATACCAGTAGCATCTCAACATTAGAGGCATTTGCACACTTCCTAGCTGTTAAGGAAATAGTTTACCTAAAAATGTATGACTCTCTTGACATTCATAAACCTGTATGACTTACTTTTTTTTTCTTTTTTTTCTGAGAAAAACTAAATGAGAAATTTAGAAGAATGTTCAAGTTGCTCTTTTCCATATAGTGAAAGCAAGCTTCAAATGAAATCAAGCTTCAAGTTCCAAAAAGACAAAGTACTTTAAAATTAGCCCATAAGTATTCCCAATCCTCTTTGGGAAAACCTTTTTTTCATGCACTTGTCAGTTTTGATATCACTTTTTGCTTCAATAACATGTCTTCTTTCAAATTAGTTTAAACAAAACACCCAAAATACACATTCAAATGTGAATTTTATGACACTTTATCTATTTGCATCGGTAGATTAATTACAATACAAATTTTAAATGCCATTTTCTTAAAATTAGCACGAAATCTCTAATTCAGAAACACTTGCATACATAAAACTTTACAGTCTATGAATCTATATCTGCATATATATCTTTATACTTTATTTGTTTACAATTTATATAACATTTTATTCCTTTGAACTTTAATTTAATTTAATTTATTTATTTTCTGTAGAAAAACCTTTAATATGTAAAATAACAATAATAATAATAATAATAATAATAATAATAATAATAATGAAACATGAATTTTGAAACTGCTTAATCTAATGATAATTTTTCTGTTTTGGAATTTTATGCAAATTGGTGAATACGTAATTATATGATGTATAATTTGCATATTTAAACATAACATTTCAGAAGACATGAAATAAAAAAAATATTATTTTAATGTACTGTCATTGATCACATAGGGAAAGTGTGGTGATAAATCAATAATCCCCAATAATCCCCTGTTTACAGTGTATTTATAACAGCTATTCCATATACGTAGGTAGGTTTCACAAAATAAAACAGAGCAAATTTGTTTACAATTTATATAACATTTTATTCCTTTGAACTTTAATTTAATTTAATTTATTTATTTTCTGTAGAAAAACCTTTAATATGTAAAATAACAATAATAATAATAATAATAATAATAATAATAATAATAATGAAACATGAATTTTGAAACTGCTTAATCTAATGATAATTTTTCTGTTTTGGAATTTTATGCAAATTGGTGAATACTTAATTATATGATGTATAATTTGCATATTTAAACATAACATTTCAAAAGACATGAAATAAAAAAACTATTATTTTAATGTACTGTCATTGATCACATAGGGAAAGTGTGGTGATAAATCAATAATCCCCAATAATCCCCTTTTCAGAAGACATGAAATAAAAAAAATATTATTTTAATGTACTGTCATTGATCACATAGGGAAAGTGTGGTGATAAATCAATAATCCCCAAGAAGCCGTGGTTTACAGTGAATTTATAACAGCTAAGGGGCGTTGTTATATCTTAGCTGTTATAAATTCACTGTAAACCACGGCTTATTGGGGCTTATTGCTTTTATAAAACGGTTATTCCATATACGTAGGTAGGTTTCACAAAATAAAACAGAGCAAATAATGTGTAATGATATTAATAAAAACAGTATTCTTCCGCCAAGCAATGTAGCTCCTCAGAAACAGATTGGGGCTTATTGCTTTTATAAAACGGTTATTCCATATACGTAGGTAGGTTTCACAAAATAAAACAGAGCAAATAAAGTGTAATGATATCAGAAACAGTATTCTTCCACCAAACAATGTAGCTCCTCAGAATCAGTTGTGGTTGCAACAAAGTCGCCGAGCAACACACAGAAGTAAACAAAGGTGTGTGTTTGTAGAGTAATTTACAACAGCTTCGGACGCGGCTCAACCAATCAGAATCAAGGACCGGAACTATCCGTTTTATAATATCTATTAGTTACCCTATTAATAGTAGTAAAAGTATAGTATGTTTCATTATTATTTACCTGTATTTTGCCTTTACGCCATACTATATAATTGTGCAAGAACCAGAATAATTTTTTTTTTTCATATTCAAACATACCAGTTTCTGTTATGAGATGCATGAAAAAAAAAACATCTCATGTCAATTACATCAAACCTGGCGAGACGTGATTTGACGTGACCCATTTGAATATGGTGTGGATGCGATTTGAGGACTTTTCTCCATCGGTTTTCCACAGAAGAAAGCAATGAAATTCTGATGACAGAATTCATTTGGGGGATTTATTCCTTTGAATATGATACCTGCGATTGGTCATGAGCTTACATCGAGGTCTCTTTGGTCCAACAGTGAAACCTGACCCCCCTGAGAAGGTGGTGGCCAAACCCGTAGCCAACAATGCACGGAGACTAGAGGTGACCTGGAACAGTCCCAGTACGTGGCCCGATGTGGAGACCTTCCCGCTGAAGTACTTCCTGCGCTACCGGCCACTCATCCGAGACCAGTGGCAGCACGTAAGTGTGGATAACCGCTTTTATAGCTTCGTTACATCTTCGTTGCATATGCTATGTGGCCTCAAACTATTAATGATAACATTTTCATTAACCCAACCAGCGAGGTATTTTTTGACGAAGCATAGTCTTGTTGGTCAGCTAACAAGCTCCTGCTACTACAACAAGCCAGTTTTCTGTGGCTCAGCATCCCGGCGTGGATAAAACCAACAAATCTAACTTGCTATTGCACAAAACATAACATATTCTGGTAACCAACTATGTTAGTCTTTTCTGCAGAGTTCAGAATAGCGTTGCAACCATGTCTCGTTTTCTACAAGAATACAGGGGGTCAAAGTGGGCCGCTGTGATTTGGTTCCATTGTCAGCTCTCCACATGAGTCCAATTGTGTCCCTCAGCTCTACGGAATGAGACCAGACATGTTCTCTGGACACTGATCGGAGTTTTGGACAGTTGAAAATAGGTGATTTATATCCCATAGTCTCAGCTCATATACATTGCCACACTACTGTATGAGAGAGCACCAGCCAGTCAGTCAGAGGATATATCTTAAGAAGCCCCTTGGGATTATTTAATTTATTCCTCGTACATATCAAGGCTGAAAGTAGATGTTGTGTCATGCTTATTTCCATTAAACTCTTTAAGTAGATGAGCACATCTCACTCTATAATCTAGTTACTACCTGGCACTAAGAAAATTAAACGTTTCAGAATTACAAATCTGTTTGGAAATGTTGAAATTAGACTACCTGCTCTGGATGAACGGGTTATGCAGTATAGAGTTGTTTAGTCATATATATATATATATATATATATATATAAATTTATTCCTCGTACATATCAAGGCTGAAAGTAGATGTTGTGTCATGCTTATTTCCATTAAACTCTTTAAGTAGATGAGCACATCTCACTCTATAATCTAGTTACTACCTGGCACTAAGAAAATTAAACGTTTCAGAATTACAAATCTGTTTGGAAATGTTGAAATTAGACTACCTGCTCTGGATGAACGGGTTATGCAGTATAGAGTTGTTTAGTCATATATATATATATATATATATATATATATATATATATAGAGAGAGAGAGAGAGAGAGAGAGAGAGAGAGAGATAATAATAATAATAAGTATTAAATAAATTACATAATAAGTATATTATTTTACTTTACACTATTGAAATTACAATATTTATGACTTAAATTCAACTAAGTCATAAGCCATAATTAAGTCATTATTAAATAACTATATACTTATTTAATTAAAATACACATTTAATTCAACTTGATTGAAAGAAGAGAGAGTGAGAATGTGCAGCTTGTATCATTTTATCAATACTGTGAAAAAAAAATTGTATTGAAATGGTTTCAGATATTCAGAAGATGTACTGTATTGAAAAACGTATATTTTATGGCAACACTAGCACTATTGGGAAAAAAAAAATGGGAAAAAAAATTGTTGATTGGATTTTGAGATGTGGGCGTGGCGTTCAAAACGAATGTGAGCTTGCAGTCAGTTGTGGAGGGGGTGGGGTTTAAGCAGACCAAATGATTGGAGAATTTCTCCTTACGTTACTAAAGAGAAATCTGAATATGTATGAGTAGTTCACAATGACATCTATAACAGTGATTTACAAAATAAATGTTAATTTCATGCCAACGATAACTGCACCAGGCAGTGACAACAGGGTTTGTGAATATGTTGCATTTTATAATGAGGCTTGTTTCCGTAAAAAAAGGCATGTGTGCACTGAAAAGAATGTCTTTCTAGTAAGCAAGTAAAGCAACTAAACAAAGTTTTCAATCAATGTACGTCCAAACACCAGTGTTATGTAGCTGAAGTCATGGATGATGCCACACTTCACCACAGAGCGCATCTCATCCCTCCTTACAAAGAATCCAACTAAATTTCCAAAACAACTATTACTCAGTCCCGTATGAATCCTATTTGAGTTCTCGGAGACCACTACTCCTCTGAAACAAACCATATCAACCCGAACACCAGCTCATATCAGCTTGCAGCAAAGACCATATTGAGCTCCATCACGACAAGGTGGAAACCTCATCAGTCTTCCGCCAGGCCACGTTTCAGCTGCGCCTCATATGTGCACTCACGTAGTGTATCACGGCGAGAGGGCTTCAGAGAGATGAAAGAGCCAGCTCGGCACGGGGAGCGTGGCGTAGGAAAGCCATTCATTCTGCTGAGGAATGAGGGGATGGCAGCTGGAACAGTCCTCGCTGAGCGATGGATGCCTCAAAGCTACCTGGAATCTGATGGCAAAATGTGGCATGGAAACAATCAAGCGCTTGTGGCTAGCCGACAATGTCGCTGGATTTAAGAAGTGGACATGCTTAATAAATTGCTTTTGTAACGTCGATTGCAGTTGTATTGAGGTGCAGGTATACAAACGTAACTCCAGTTTTTATATATCTAATTACTGTGTTCCTGGAACTGTCTAAAAAAAAAACGTCTTTTTTTGTCTTTGAGATTTACAATTCGAAAACACACACACACAAAAGTATTTTTTCTTTTTTGACAGAACTGTTGCTTTGGATGAATGGGTAACAGATCAACAGGTTCAAAGTACTGTATAGGTGTTGCACAGATTTAAAAAATAAATAAATAAAAAATAATTAAGTAATTAGGACTTATCGTATTTTATTTTATTTTTCCGCCATCTGTTTGGAAATCATGCATTTAAAGAACACAGTGAACCTACTAAATTAAGACTTATTTTGGATTCATGCACAACTGTTTTGAGACAAATATCATATATATTTCACAAATGCTTACTGGGAATTTTCTTTAATTAAAGAGTACAGTTCTCCCAAAAACTATTTCATCATTTAGTCACCCCTACGTTGTTCCAAACCTGTATGACTTTCTCCTGCGGAACACAAAAGAAGATATTTTGAAGAGTGTTCCAATGGTTTTTATCCATATGATGTAAGTCATCGGGGTCCAAACGTTGTAACCAAACACATTTTTTGGTTACACTTTATTTTGATGTTCCACTTTAGGCATTCTACTAAGTAACTTTGCAACTAGCCATCATTAGAGTATTAGTAGACTGTCCGCTTAATATCTGCTAACACTTTATTTTGATGATCCCCAAACAGACATTCAGCTGACCATAAGTAACTTTGCAAGTACATGTCAACTCATCCTACTAACCCTAACAGTCTACAATACTCTACTACTACTCTAATGAGAGCAAGTTGAGCTGTAGTTCCACATTAATGCGAGTTAGTTGACATGTAGCTGCATGTACTTTTTGTTAGTAGAATATCTAAAGTGGACTATTGAAATAAAGTGTAACCCACTTATTTGACTTATTTTTTTTTAAATACCTATTTTGATGTTTGAAATGCATGGAATGACATGAGGGGGAGGTAAGAATGACACCATTTTCATTTGTATATGAACTATCCTTTTAATATATCAGAGCTATATTTCAAGATCAGAAAAGCAAATTCTATTTTACAAAACATTAAATGTGTGCCATAGATAATAGTTCATTTTTGATCTATTGAAACCTATGATTAGAAATAACTTGGTCAAATCCAAAATGTGTGGCCTCACATTGACATATACATGATTATAAAGTAGAAATGTCATTTTTGTGGAGCGGCTCAGATAAATGACTGGACTGAAAAATTCAATGGATCAATGTTTCTGCTCAAGAGACATATGGTGCAGCGGAGCTTTAAAAAGCACTGACATTTAACAGAAGAACAATGGAAGTGTGGGGTAATTATAAGAAAGATATGCATACGTTCACACCCGCTGAGTGATGATCTTTGGAACTTTTCATTGCCTCAAAGGTGTGAGGAAGAGATTATTAGATGTTTATTTAAAGTGGGAATATAGCTATACTGAAACTATCAGTATTTTGAGTGGCAAATTCAAGCAGGGCTGCTGATAGCAGTGTTTATTTGCATGTTCTGTCTTCATTGTTTTAGCATTTTAGTGTTGTCTATAATCATTTTAAATGAGAAAAATTAGAAATTACTCATGATGTTCTTTTTCTTGGGATAAACATATTGATGCATCATCCTAATCGTTGGTGTCAATTATGTAAATGCATCGGTTTGCGTTGATTGCGTCCAACTTTTCATGTTCATCTCAATGATGCCGGCTCTGGCTCTGATGGAAATTTTCAGTACTCACAACCGCATTCTCGGCAAACTCACGCTGTTTGAATGGCAGAAGTTATGGTTATTATTGTTTGACAATATAAAGGATTATTGGAATAATCAGAAAAGAATCAATAGATTTATCAGAGGTTTTGAGGGGGTGGGGATGGGTGGGGTAATCGTTAGATTAATCGATTTGAAAATAACAATAATTAGTTGCTGCCCTAGCTAAAAAGCCACTGCTAAAAGAATAAATGTTATTTATTTATTTATTTTTTTTGTTATGATTATTTTTTTTTACTTACTTACCAAATGGTGTAGTTACATCATCTACCAGCAGGGGCCAAAGGCCTATGCTAACCAGCAAAATTTGACTATTATATCTGTGCATTTAGTGCCTGGTTTGCTGGTGGTTAATGTATAAATTGCAGGCTTTGTGTGTAAATACCACAGACTAAAAAGTGCAGATGTTTCTTAATTTCCCCTTGGGTTAAAGATAAAAAAAAAGAATGGTTGCAATATTAAGGTTGCGCATGCATTTCATTCGAACGTGCATTTAAAGAACAGGTGACATCCTATTAATCGCATATTATTCTGGAGAGAGATGTGAATGATGGATTGAAATAGATGGGAGCGGCGAAAAGACACGAGACAGCTGTGAAACGACTGCATATGTTTCACGCTCTGTCTTTTGTCCAGGAAAGCAGCAGCATGAAATGTGTGTGAAAGTGAAGTGTGAAAAAAAAGAAAGGAGGCTGGGGGTGCGGAGGGAAAAAATGGTGTGGTGGGCAATTTTTCTTCTTCGCCCTTTTCATTCCCAGAAATGATGTATTTAAACTCGAGCTTTAACAAGCCGCTGTGGTGCCACTCAGCCAAATGAGAAACAATCTGCTCTTGAGCAGTGGGGGCTTCTGGGAGTCGCTGCACAGAATGAATGTGCTGTGTTAGAGGCCAGGCTTCATAGAGCACCATCCAGTTTCAGGTGACTGATATTTGACTGTAGATCTAATGGGGTTTGGCTTACTGTTGCTTCGGGTAATCACAATGATGGACACGATTGAAGTTACAGCAGGAGTGTACAGTGCCAAAATGGAGTAGGCTTAAAGAAGAATGAAATTTAAATGAACATAAAGTCTGGTCTACATCATATATTATTCTAGCCAAGTGTCACTTGTTTTGTTGGTTGATAGTCTTGGTAGCCTCTGCTAGTAGACGCCATAAGAACCTTCTTTAAAAGAGTTACATGCTATTTATTTCCTTGTCTTTTTTTGGTCTTTATACTGACACCTTTTTGTGTGGATGGAG